TTGTCGTCGTCCTTTTCCTTGGTGTTGCGTGTGCGGGCAGGCGCTTCGGAAGTTGTCTTCCGGGGTGCCTGTCGTTTCCTCGTCTTCGTCCTTATCGTTATTCTTAGATCGCCTCAAGAGTTACAGCATTGTATGCATATTGATTACATTCATGATTGTGTTTACTACTGTTTTAACTATTTTCCTTGTTCCCTCAGCAATTATTCGCAGGTCAATTTAAATTTTTTGCTGTCCCATAAAATTAATGTCGGTATATTCGAGCTATTTGCAATTTTCCCCCTTCCTTTTCTCCACGTGGACGCGGAGTCCTTTTCAAGCAGGGGTGGTATGTTAGGTTCACGATTTCACATATGCACGCACTCGCACACTCGTACGCACTCGCACCCTCGAACTCACCTTTACAGGCGCGCACTGACTTTCACTCTTGATCTTGACTCACCTTTTCGGGCGCGCACTCACTTTCACTCTCGTACTCACCTTTTCGGGCGCGCACTCACTTTCACTCTCGTACCCACCTTTTCGGGCGCGCACTCACTTTCACTCTCGTACTCACCTTTTCAGGCGCGAACTTACCTTTACTCTCGTACTCACCTTTACAGGCGCGAACTCACCTTTTCGGGCGCGCACTCACATTCACTCTCGTACTCACCTTTTCAGGCGCGCACTCGACGTACTCACCTTCACAGCCTCGTACTCACCCTTGTTGCTTTTCCTAATCTTTTCTTTCTTTGGCCTGGGTAGCTGGACTCGCGCTTTAGCACATTTATCTCCATAGCTACCCAGGCCCTAGATAAGCTCTTGCTGGAACATTTGCTCTCCCCTTCTAGCCTTGTCTAGCCTTGTCTTGCTCGCCTTGCTTGGTCTTTGTCTTGCTTGCCTGACCTTATTCTATACCGAACCTCTGAGATTCCTTGTCGTTGTCCACTTGATCCGATCGTCTAATTGTGACTGTGCCGGTTCTAACAGTATTATGACTCCAATATCTATAAAAGCTGATGCTCAGGCGAGAATGAAGATTGTGAAGCACCAAATCATGGCAGCACTAAAACCATAACAATCGTCTTAGTATATGTACACAGGTTATGGCACCAACGGCACGCCAAACAATCACCAGCCCTACCGAATAGAGGGATATCTAGACGAAGATCATACATTATCGAAAAATAATTTATTTGTCAACGTACTCCTTTTAATAATAGTGTACAACCCAAACTCTGCTGGCTACATTTTTAATATGAATTTGTGTGTTGTTTGGCTTGCTCTAGGTTGATCCGGTTTGCGGATTGGGGTACAACTGCTGCCGCCAAAGGCCTGATACATGTATTTGGAAGATGAAGAAGAGGTGAGTCTTGTTAACTCTATTTTTGTAACTGGCCGTCTGCCTAAATTCAGCTCGTGACAAACATAAATATTGTGTTATCATTTAAGGAAAAAATTGAAGGCGTATCTGATGTCCACTCAACTCGACTGATCACACAGCATGGGGGCCGAGGGGTTGTGTTCCCAAATATAAGTTAAAGAAAATGGACCAAACAGATTGAATACAGACAAGAACACGATAAGCAACAAACGCACAGGAGTGAAGCGAGAAATGGCAACTAATCTCGCAAGATGTGGGCTTCGACACTGCCAGAGTGTGGGATTCCTCATTAGCAGCAGCACGATGGCTAACACAAGAGACACACAAACAAAACAATGCAAGAACGCAGCAGAGTAAATGAAATCCTGCACCGAATGAAAGGCGTATTCAATGTGGAAAGAAGTGTCAGAGCCGACGCAATCCACACAGTCAAGTAAAGTCAATTTAGTAACTGAGCGTTTTCGTTCCCTTCTCACCATGGAATAGTTATTGGAAAATGTCGAATACAGCAACTTAAAGAGCTAAAAGCCAAAGGAGAGATCGAAACCTAACACTATACGTCACAAGGAACTGAAAACGTTCGGTTACTAAAGTGCCTATACTTGACTGCGGATTTGTGTGTGAGGAGGGGGGAGGGGGGGGGGGGGGGGGGGTTGTGAAGATTAATACAAGAGTAAAGATACAACTGCACTGACCATGACTGGCAAACACAGAGGCGTAGGTTGAAATTTTTCTTGGTGTTGTTGGCCACTGTCTGATAGTGGTGACTTAACGCTCAACTGTCAACTCTATGTTCTTCCTTTATTACTCTTGTTTTCATGGCATGTTTAGAACCGTTCAAAGTTGTTCGGAAGAACAGGTGGAAGAAGACAATGTTCACCTGCCCTACAGTCTTCAGGGGCGTCCTGTTGGTCTACGTCAGTTCTCAGAAAGCCATACCGAGACGATTTGTTATCAGCCTGGGCCCGTTTCAGATAGCAATGATCAGGGTGATGTAGTGCGCTCCACGGTCGTATCCGATATGTGAACACAGCAGATACGCATCACGAGTTAGTGCACCAAAGCTCGTGCAATCTCCACAGTCTCTTGTACGATGTGTGGATCTCATCACTTCTACCTTTCCTTTATGTCAGGTCAATTTTTCGCCTTTGCTGCGTGTCGCGTAACCTACGAGAACTGTTGATGACGGAGCAGACATTCAAGATTCTCTGTGTGGCGAGTACGAGTACTGGGTGTGAGAGGAATGACGGCACGTACACTTGCCAGAAATGATGGCATCAGTTACAGTGCTCTCGAATTTGGTGTTGCTTGCAATACGCTCACTTGTGAGGTCTGCATTCGCCACTAAGGTTAACAGGAATAGTGGTGGCCTGCGGATGCGAAGGCTAGTTTGTGTGTTTCTGAACATTCAAGCGATGCCGACGCAGATCCCGCGAATATTATTATTATTATTATTGCAATACGTATAGATTATAGACCGGTTAGGAGGTCTATACAGGATATATAGACCGAGTAAAAGACCGAGGTCCCCCGAGGTCTTTTACCGCATTGTACTGCACTGAAAGTCAAGATCATTGTTTAAACTAGGTTCAGCATCGGTAGCACAGTGGCTGGGTGGTAAGGAAGAGTGACTGAGATTCACAAGGTTGTGGGTTCAAATCCCATCTTGTGTATTTCTGCTTTCTTCAAACATTTCTTTTTCTAAGTTGGAGAGAAAATTTCTAAGTCCAAGAAATTCTAAGGAGTCAAATATAAGTAGTCAAATATATCGTGTATTTGACTAAGCAGTCAAATACGCGATATATTTGACCGCTTAGGTATCAGGGAAATTAGTGGGGTCAAATACTAAGAAGGCGATAAGAATTATTATCACTCTCTTAGTATTGACTCCCATTGATTTTCGCTATACCTAAGCAGTCAAATATTCCTGCATATTTCACTCCTTAGGGCTATATTGACTGCTTATATTTGACTGCTTATGGGGTTGCGCAGTTGAACAGTGCTTATTGCAGCATTGTCACTGCATGAGTAGGTGGTGGTGCAACGGTTGTGCAATCATAAAACCGGGTTTCATGAGGTTATCGTTCTGGAAATTGAAAAACGGACTGTTTGTCGAGATAAATCTAATATTGACTTCGTACTTGCAAGTACTTGGTCAATATAGGAAATAAAAACCTCGGCTTTTATTTCCTATATTGACCTCGTACTCAGTCAATATTAGATACGTATCACATCCAGCTAGCCAACGTTTCATTATTACGTCACCGCCAACAAAATCTGTACAAATTCACAGTAACCCTGCTTCACACTTTCCATAGTAGGCTTAAAGGGGCACTCCGGCTTCATTTTCGACGCCGAGTTTTCGATGCCAAGACGAAGGTAGGTGAAAGAGAAGACCCCTCGAACAAGAACGAGTCTCCAGAAGCGATCGAGTCGAGCAGGAAGACGACTTTTGAATTTCGCCGAGCGAGCGCTGATGACGTAATGAGGGATTAGCTTGCCAGTGGAAATGCATCTGCGCACATACATTTCACATACTTTTTGGCCAATTTTCAATCGAAGAGGACGTTGTTTTCTATTTTCTCTCAACGTCGTGAGCGATCCCGTCTTCTATACCCTTCCAGGTACCCTGAAGGTCCTCCAGAGGAGAATTTATCTCCAGCGAAGCGTTGTTGATCCGCTAAATTCCTCTCGAGACATATTCACCCAGTGCAGTGCTGATAAATGTAGAATGTTGAATCTGTGATAATTGTCGACGATGAAGAGAGAGGTTGATAGCCGCTGTCGCAGGGAAAGTGAAGCTGCTGGAAGTCACGACGGGGAGCTTGTTAGCATCACATGTGCATCCAGACTTCAAAGCACCTTGACGGAATCGGGGAGTACTGACTATTTGTCTCGCCCTCAGTTTATTTTATGACCAGAAAATTATTCCATCAGGATCCCTTCTACAAGATGTGTAGTACAGGTGATTTCTGAACTTGACGATATGGAGACCGACCAGTAGACCTACCAACAACGTGTACCTGCAGGAAATTCACCCAAGGCTATTGCTATCCTCTTCAGTGGCTGTTGTTTTTTAGTAAAAATATGTTCACTTCTCTCAACATACTCCTGCATGGCAGCAAGGAGGTGCGCTATGGAATTCGACGCCACAATCTTCGCCCAGCTGTGGATGAAGCATGGTCAAGTCATGGCAGTACATATACTTGAAACAGATGAGAAATTGAAGTTCATTTGTGATGGGAAGTTTGACTGCCCCAGTGACCGAGTCAAGCATCATTTGCTGTGGCACAAATTGCTGAAGAATCCGAGATGGTCTTGGAACTATGCACATGGATACTACCAGAAATAATGGTGGCATGAACCATTGTGGAATGGGACAGCTCACGGAGAATACTGGAATAGCTCAAGTATCTCTAAGTGATTGTAAATCCTGTTCTGGCTGATAGCTTCGGCCTGCTGCGCCCGTCTATGTACAATGATGGGAACAAACATGCATTTCTGTTTTCTACATATTTGCCGGCTACTGTACTGTGGTATTACAGTTGCAGGTCCCTTATATAAAAATATGTTCAACCCCTCCCACATACCCACATTATAAATATGAACTAACAATTTCACTGTTGGACTCGCAGGCGGCTAGAGAGAAAAGGATTAATTTATACATGTAGCAAAGAAAAGGACCAGGGAACTACAAGTAAATTAGCTACGCTATAATGTCCATGAACAATTTCACTGTATTTGAAATAATTTTGTTTGCTACCCTGAGAACTCTGAAACTTTGGAGCACTGTGGATTATATGTGTATACAACATTTATGAAAGGAAAAGTGGAATAATTTCTAACACATTGTTCAAATAATTATAGCACTGAATTGTTGAGCTTGTGAGCACATTCCAATCAGCACTCTACATATTTTATAAGCGGTGGCAATCGTTAGGAATAGGTCGTGAGTTGTCAGAGTGCTCCAGTATATGAGAGAATGTTTTGTTTGTCTAATCGACGGCTCGTTTGAAGCCAGAGTTGTTTGAACTTGTTTCAGTCGACTTGATTCTAGATAGTAGTCGAAGGAGTACTATGAAGTACACACCACACGTAGCCCGTAAGGTATCTCGTGAGAATTCCGTCGGTACACATCAGGTATCAGCTTGGAAAGATGGCTCCTCTCTGTTTCTTGAAAGCCTGTATAATTGGACTGTGGCTCCAGCGATTCCCTTCTCAGAGCAGATACCATACCCAATACCGTCAATGCATATTGGACAGACCTGTATGCACAACAGAAATATTGGAGAGAAATCTCTAAGCTCATGAACACGTCAGTGAAGTTTGAACTGCCGTTGTTTGTGGCCATCAGTATAAACCTATCGACTATAAGAATAATGTGCAAACAAACTTCTATAACCACAGCTGGGGCCATGGAATTATAAACTTAGGGAACTGCCAATTCCGGTCTGAGTTGCGTTCGAGGCCTGCAATTCATGATGGCTATCGTATGTTGCATTGACCAGAGATCATATTATAAAACTTCCATGCCACATTGAAACACGCACCACTTTCGAGTACTTTGGTATCCCCCACCAAATGGGCATTCATTCTCGGGGTGGCAGGCGTCACTATTCGTTACGCCTGGGTCAGATTTCATTGACGCCAACTGTCATGAAGAATCATTTTTACTTTGACTGGATTTCAGTACAAGTTGTAGAACTGCAGAATCAATTTCGTTGTATTTGGGCAACCATTTCACTACAAACGCTCTATTGGGAAAATAGAATTTTTTTATAAAATACATGTCCAAATTCCACATCTACCCAAATCGGAATACTTGATCACGTATTCAGTACTACACGGAATGTTTAGAAAACGCCAGGGAATAGGAATTTGCTAAATAAAAACTCCAGGCCAGGGTACTAGCATACGAACAAAACAAGATAAAAACTCACCAGTGTACTTGTAGTAATTCATGTCGGTGTAATATTCACGATAAGCAGCGAGGCACCCTCCGATTTGGTCAAGCTGCTTTGAAGTCTGGTTGTTCAGGTGATACAAACGGGCGCCCCGTTGTTACTTCCAGCAGCTTCACTCTCCCTGCGACAGCGGCTATCAGCCTCTCTCTCCATCGTCAACAATTATCACAGATTCAACATTCTACATTTATCAGCACTGCACTGGGTGAATATGTCTCGAGAGGAATTTAGCGGATCAACAACGCTTCGCTGGAGATAAATTCTCCTCTGGAGGACCTTCAGGGTACCTGGAAGGGTATAGAAGACGGGATCGCTCACGACGTTGAGAGAAAATAGAAAACAACGTCCTCTTCGATTGAAAATTGGCCAAAAAGTATGTGAAATGTATGTGCGCAGATGCATTTCCACTGGCAAGCTAATCCCTCATTACGTCATCAGCGCTCGCTCGGCGAAATTCAAAAGTCGTCTTCCTGCTCGACTCGATCGCTTCTGGAGACTCGTTCTTGTTCGAGGGGTCTTCTCTTTCACCTACCTTCGTCTTGGCATCGAAAACTCGGCGTCGAAAATGAAGCCGGAGTGCCCCTTTAAGGGTTCAAAGGGGAACTCCACGAAAAAATGAAAATTTGATAGCCTGTAGAGTTTCGGGCGCTGAGTCGAATGGTCATGGTCCGAAGTCTCTACGAGAAAGCGTTCTTGAGATATTTCAATTTTAGCCACGCCCCATACCAATGTATGTGTGACGTCATTGTGGCATGGTGCGAAAATACTTGGATTTTGAATCCCACTTTCTTCAGGACGAAAGTCACTTCAGAAAGTAGTTTGCCAAGTCGCCTGAGCCGCTGCAATGCCAAATTGTTGTGTTGGAGGTTGTGCCAGTATCATATCATCCTCCAGGGGTTAGTTGTCTCAGATTCCCAAAGGATGGAGACCTGGCAAAGCGCCGAGATGTTGCAATGCGTCGTGAAAATTTCAAGCCTATTTTCGCAGCACGAGCTATGTTTGCTCGCTTCATTTATGATCCAGAGGGACTTGGGAGGTGAGTTTTGACCAGTACGCCGTCCAGGAAAGCCCACATCAGTGTACCAGTGCCCTCCGAACCGTGAGCCTCCAGCAAAGCGAACTCAACAAGCTGCAACTGAGAAAGCAGGGCGAGATACGTTCCATCAGGATCAGAAGAGTACATCACCCCATCAACTCCGACTGCAGCTAGCTGATGAACGATATTACCCCAGTAACTTTGCGCATACCAGTACTCAAACTGTGCACATCTGTCATCAACTGGGACGCAAACAGACAGACCCCCAGCAAGTACGAAGGTTACAGAACTGTTTGCTTGCGATGTGCAGGCAGCATGCACGACGAACTGTCTCACCAATCCTGCCAAACTGAACCAGTGTAAGTTGATTGCGTGGATATGTCTCTATTTATAACAGCTACCCTACTTCTGCATGGTTGCATGAATATCATATCACTCAGAGCAGTTGTTAGAAGTCTGGACAGCCTAGGAATAGTGCAAGAAAGGTGAAACAAAAAATTATTACACTCCGAGTTCCACGCTTGCGGGATCACCAGGCCAAAAAAATCTTATTTCGAACAAGGAATGGGTTCTGGTTGTATGCGAAAGAAAAGTAAGTGAAGACCTATTGTGCAAGGAATACAGTGGGAACTACACATATTATACACATGCACTCACAACCTTCACCCACATGCGCGCGCGCCTGTGCGTGCACACACACAAACACCACAACACGCACACATACGCACCCACATACTCAAACTCACTCCCACGCACGCTAGCCTAAGGATAGTACATATGCTGTAGTAGTGGTGTACTTAGTGAAATGACTATGTGTACATCTAATGACGCCGCCACTCCACGCCAGAAGACAACAAACATCTGCTGAACATTTTTGCTCCCGTCTCTTATGGGCAACACAGGGAATGAAACGAAAAATGCAATTGAGAACAAGAGTCGTCCTGTACGGTGAAGTTTCCATTTTCCCTTACAGCAGTATATTGTCTAAGCAAGTGTGTTTTCTCCACATTCTTTTTGCCATGCAGGTATATCACAGTGTCCTGCCAAACTACATTCTCAAACGCATTCGTTTCTCAATTCTGGGGATGACTGGACACGCACATCTCGCAGCTCTTGACGACGTCAATGTCAACCGTCGTCACAGCACAACCAAAAAGACCGCGATAGGAAGGTATAAAGTCCAGTTCTCAAAGCATAAAGAAGACTGTGGCCAAATAGAAAATTATACGACAGAAAGAGCTATGAGTATGTTGACAAGCTCATGTGTGAGGTGGTAGCGGTTGCAAATGGCAACCTCGATGTTCCTGCCTTGGAGAAGCGTGTTTCCCTGCCAAATTCCAGGTGGAAGCCTCCTGAGAAGGCTGAGGTGGTGCAGGATTTGGATATCTTTGCCTGATGGTATTCACAACGCAGGCTGGAAGACGACAACGAACGTGCTTGCCCAATTTGCGGTGTACATAGTGTGTACTGCCTGTGTGCTGCATAGCGTAAAGATCTACACAAACACAGAATGTCATATGGAATGTGTATGATGAGTGCTTGTACACATACCACATTGCTGTACCGTAATAATTATTATAGTCAAATTCTCATTTACTCTACATATGCGCTGTATTGCACCTACCGGTACCTACCTGCACTTTCAGTGCGCGCGCCATACTACTAATTTAGTGTCCACTGGTACAAAGATGGAGGGTCTTGTAGAATTTCCCATAATTGCTGATTTCAAATTGAATTCCAATGATCTGGGGGATGAATACTGATTAGGACGCGTTCGATTACCTACTAGTACAGAGATGTCTTGGTCAGAAAGTACAGATGTCTTACTCTCCTGCCAGAATTTGTGCATTATTTTGGTGTACGCTTTCTTGACCCCACGCTTGTACGTTGCATGCCATGGAACGAGTTTATTGACGAAGTCTATCGCTTGAAACGATAAAGTATGGGTTCGGGTGTGATCAAATGCACCCATGGTGCTCATAAACTGTGTGCAGTGCTCTCTTCACCAACAGAACACTACCATACTTTGCAGATCTTGTACTAATCCAAGGGAAAATGACAAAGACAAAATTATGTGTTTGAGTCATGCATGAAAACTTGTGATAACTACTAGCACTATTAGTACAACGTTGTTCGTGCTATGCCTGACAACAATAAGTTACACAAAACATTACGCGCATCGATCCTCACAAGATAAGTCACGACATACTCGGAGCAAAGAGAAATTTGTTTGTGTCATGCATGAAACTTGTGATAACTACCAGTACAATGTCTTTCTTGTGCGACGCCTACTGTAGTGCGCCTGACAACAATAAATTTCCCCCAAAAATAAGTGTATCATGCTGATACGTGATCCTCACAAGACAAGTCAAGGCAAACTAATTATTGAGGCTTACCTAATGTCAGACTCTTCTGTCACTGGCATTGGCGGCTTCTGCATGTCGAGATAACCTCGAAGAGCAGTGGTGGGCACAGCCTAATGCAAGGATACGGTCTCGTAATCTGCGAGGTCCGCTACGCAAGAAACCTTGGGCCGTCTTGTCGACAGCGACGGCAGCATCCTACCAGCAAAATCATTCCGGCGGGCTGGGCATGGCTATACACTTTTGTCCACGCTCGCACCAGTCGGAGTCCCAAACGAATCGAGATTCTGGTGGCCAAGCTACTCGTCTTCTGTCGGACGCAGCTGCTGAAGTATCTTTTTCCTCAACATTTGTTACACGCGATGGCAGCTCCTCAGCAGAGTATCTGAGCTCCCTGCCCCAACCAAACGCGGCGGTGGGCTGTTGGTCGTCTTCACTGGCCTCAGCATCGCTGCCTTCATTGCTGGGGACAGAGGATTGCTCGGAATCGCATATCTTCCCTTGAAATACCAACTAAAACTAGTGCTTGTAGATTGGCGAAGAGAAACGACTATGCCACAATGACGTAGGCAGCCCGTGATGACGTAGCCAAATGGCCGCATGACGTCAGGGCGCGGCCCCCGTTTTTGCAATTTCAAAGTGAAATATCTCAAGAACGCTTCGTCGTAGAGGCTTCGGACCAAGACCATTCGACTCAGCGCCCGAAACTCTACAGGCTATCAAAGTTTCATTTTTTCGTGGAGTTCCGCTTTAATGAAAGGTGATATGCAAATATGTTCACCACCTATAAATGAACGATTTGATTTTAAGGATAAGTAGCAGGCTTTGGCCTTCTAAAGTTTATTCTCTATCAACCATCCCTCCAAAACTGCGCGCTCAAAGCCGATATTATCAACACGTTGCCACAGCACCCCATCAGCAATGCAACACATCGGTTGTTACTGAGTTCCCACATTGTGCATACAGCTGTTTCGAATGTTAAACTCTCGTCGATGAGAGTTTGATATTGTTAAATGGCTATAAAATAGCCATCACGCTTTTTGTAGCGAAAAGAATAGCATCATGCGCACCTGAGGTGCAAAGATCAGGGCTAGGCAAATTGTCAAAGTTGAAAATACTTGTAAAATAGACTTAACTGGACATGTGAAGTGGTAGTGCAAATAGTAGGCTGGTGTGAATCAATTATTTGAACCTGCCATAACATCTTCTCTAAATCTACATTTACATGTACACATGTACTGTAGGTAGAATAGGTGAAAGAAATCGCATGAACGACTCTTTGCACAACAAATCTTGTAAGGGAATTTTGATAATGTTATTGCTGGGCAAAATACCATTATGACGTTTATTTTCGCAACATGGTATGTTGGATAGACTGATAATTTATCTGATATATTCATGTGAATAAACTGCTACAAAAGAGTCGATGTCTGTAATGACCACAATTTCATATCACCGAACCTGGCCAACTTTTCGACTTCATTTTAAGTCAACGAGGCTTCTTTCATCTCTGGGTGGACCTCATTCACCATACATTACAAAGTTGGATGGCCAAATATTACAAGGGAAATGGGATTGGTGTGCGAACACAGTTGGTTTGGCTGCGCTGTACAGTTGTTGTTGAATCTTGTTTCAGTGAGTAATTTAGTCGATTTCTTGACTTTGACTGGTATTCAAGAAACAATGGACTTTGGACCAAACTGTCAAAGTGGGCTAAAAAATGTCCATCTATGGAAATGTGGACATGTCCCCTGATATTTAGTCTGTAAAGACATTAATGAAACATCCAAACACGGAAACATCCGACTCTACCACATCTTACCATGTCCTCCACATCAATAATTATTGTATGCATACACAAAAGAAAATGATGATTTTCAGTGTTACAGTTATGGCTACATTAGTTAGACCCGACTGTAGAATGAGCACTATGTTTCAATACGGTGTTTGGTGGATTATGATTGCTATGGTTCATCTCTCTCCTGTTTATCTTACATGCACAGCGTCGCTATGGCATCAGCCCATTGTTGGATTTATCGTACATCGATATCAGCAAAACATTGTTTGCGGTCACAACAACCATGAGATTAGATATGTACATCTGCATCCGAATCTACAACCTTCTACCTCCAAGGAAATATAATCACATGCCGCGTCCAAAAAAAGTCCTGGACCTGGCTCTTCCATTGCTCTCTGCCGAAATGGAATCGTTGAAAAAGCAAGGGGAGGACTACGCCACAATTATCTGTAATCACGACTCTCTGGAATGCTCTATTCTAAATGGTGTAGTGAAAGGCCTGCCAAAACTGGAGAAGATTGACATAGAGCAAGAGCACCCCCCGCCCAGTTCTGATGTGACAGGATATCCACAAGATGGCACGCCTTCTAACAGATTGGGGGAACCCATTTCTTGGAGACGGCATTGTTAGTCTGTCATCCCGAATTTGTGCGACTTCCAGTTTGCAGCAAGATCTTCTCCGGGCATTTGATGTTGGCAACACTGCCGTGCAACGCTTCATCACTGAGCGTGTAACCAGCAGCAACGTGCCCTTCTTCAACCCGCTGCCAGCCCACAAGCTACTCACGTACAGCACCAAAGAGAAGCCACAAAGCAAGAGCAAATCAAATGTAAGTTCACGTATAAGTGTGAATAGTTATGTTTTTGGCTCACTGCACCATTCAAATGCATATAGATTGTTATTGAGTTGTTGTATGTGGCATGCAGACATAATCTCCATCATAATTCGATGACACACTGAACAAGTAATTTCCAGAGTTACTCTTAGGCCCTAATTTGCGGCGTCCTGCTCTCTGTTGTTTTGTTCTGTCGTGTGTGACATAGGCGCAAGCCGTCCAAGATGACCGCCAATTGTTCACTAAGCTAGCAATCATGGCAAAGCACCGCGAGGTCAATGCCAGAGAGTTAGTCGAGTATCAGCTGGGGTCAGTACCGTGGGCGATTGCCAACGCAGATGGCACACGAGTCAGCACAGTCAAGTCCAAGCTTCTGATGGAACTGGAGAAAGACACTCCCCTCCTGGAGACGGTTCCTGGACAAGGTGCTATTCTTGTTGATGGCATGGCTCTGCTCCAGTCCATAACTACCATACCTGCTACATTCGGTGAGCTGAGCACCCTGATATTCGACCGCCTCATCACTACAATGGCAAAGTTCGCCGCAGTAAGAGTAGATTTTGTCTGTGACCAATATCCGGAACTATCCATCAAGGGCCAAGAGAGGGCCAGCAGCTCAACTAAGAATGTTCCACTGCGCCTCCAAGCAGAACGAAGTGAGCAGCCCACACCCCGGCAGTGGAAACGCTATCTGTCCGATGGGCAAAACAAAATGACACTGATTTCCTTCATCAGCCGTGACTGGAGAGCTAGTGAGACACTCCCGAAAAAACTGAAATGTGGCCAGAAAGTCATTTTGACAGTGAAGAAGGACTGCTTCCAATTCACTGCACCTGCACCGGGGACATCTTTGTTTACAGTCGCCGCTGTTCCAGAACTGACCTGCTCCCACGAGGAAGCTGACACCCGGCTCCTGTTGCACGCTGCTCATGTTTTTTTTTATTTATTTTTTTACTAAGGCCACAGCTTCCAATCATGACATGCAAAGCAGCGGTGCAGCATCGCAGGCATGAATCGTGGACGTGGTGACGGGGTCTGATGTGCTCCACCGACCTAGGGTCTCGGCTTCACTGCACAGCAAACGCGTCGAAAGAAAACGGGGGCTAATAATTATCGGGAGATGGGGGGGGGGAAGAAGAAGAGAAGAAAGAGAAGAAAGAGAGAGAGAGAGAGAGAGAGAGAGAGAGAGAGAGAGAGAGAAGAGAGAGAGAGAGAGAGAGAGAGAGAGAGAGAGGGAGAGAGAGAGAGCTGGGAGATAGAAGAGCACAGTGCTCTTGGTGATGGGGACTGCGAAGGATAGCAGGTTCTGGGATATGTGCATGAGAATCAGAATATTGGTGATGATGGCAGCAGGGTTATAAGGTAAGCAGCTGAACACTAATAAGAACAGGGAAAGCGTTGGCGAGCAGATTCAAAGTGCATCAGTAGCAGAGAGCCAGTCCTGAGCAAGAAGGTGACGGTACACCTTTTTCTTAAAGCTTTGCATGTGAGGCTGGGCGGGTGGGTGGTGGAACAGGTCTGGTGGCAGGGCATTCCATGTTGCAACAGTGCACGCAGGGAATCCTTGGAGACAGCTATTCCGGGTGTTGGCAGGCAGGCCAGTTGTCATCTGGTATGGATGGGAATCCTGCAGCTGGAGAGACTGACGGGTAGGTCTTGTCTCGGGGGCACGGTGAGTGGCTGGTTTAGGCAGCATCTGCTTCAGAGGGCTGGATGCATCTAGATAGCAGAGCTTGTAGGTATAGGCAAGTGCAGCTACCAGGCGACGGAGTGCCAGGCTAGGGAGCCACGTACCTGCTCCGATGATGTGGAGGGCCCATGTCTTCCAAGGCCAACTGCCGGTAGCTGTTATCAGTTCCCCCAACACAGATGTTGCAGTGTTGGTTGGCAATTGCGTTGTGCCACGACTTGCACGGAAAGGTCATTTTCAAGACGAGACGGCAGCAGCGCGCACGTTTGGTGGACATCAACGCGATTGCGGAAGCACTGGGCAGTTCAACGTGCCGCGCTTTCATCGGTGTCCACAGCTTCTCCGGATGTGATTCGGCGAGTGCATTCGTGGGGAAAGGGAAGAGAGCTGGTCTGGAGCTGGTCAAGAAAACCGCACAAGCCTGTGAAACAATGCAACATCTCGGCCAGGATTTCAGCCTCAGCAATGACCTAGAGAAGAGCTGTGAAGCGTTCACATGCCTACTGTACGGGGATAGTAGCACCCGTGACGTTGGTAGTGTTCGCTACAACATGTTGTGCAAGAACACAACCACCCCGCAGAGGATGCCTCCGTCATCGGCTGCTCTGAGGCAGCCATTCAAGAAGGGCAAACTATCAAGCTGCTGTCTGGTGGCGCGCCCTCCAGCCAGAACCAGAAATCGAATCGCCCGTTGGAAACGATTGGCTACTGGACACAGATGGTGAGTTCTCTGGCAATGTATACCCTTTCTAAATGGTCGCATTTATTAACCCAATTTACAATGCGCTCTATTGTACAGATATATGACGTTTTGTTTACTTGCAATCTGTATGCAGGAATATCCTGACAGGCATTGAGTAAAGCTACCTGCGAATGCAAGTGGGGGTTTAACATGGCCGATTGCGTGGCCACCATAATTATAGCATTGCACTGCCACTACAGTAACTACCCATACCTGAAGAAATGATTGATTTGATTCTCTACTCCTGTGAAATTAAAGGTAAATACCTAAGCAACTGCTCAGCGTAATCAGCTGCAAGTGCCGCAAGGGATGCAGAACTGGGCGCTGCTCATGCAAGGCGTCATCGCAACCTTGCACAGATGTCTGCCAATGCAAAGCACAATGTCACAACCCTGCCAACATCCTCAACACAACTGCACAACAAACAGATGCCGCGGGCGGCAGCGCAGGTGCTGAAGCCATGCAGGACGACTGCGAAGTGGATGATGCCCATGACGACCATGATGACCTCCATGCAGATAATGCGGAAGAGCCAGCACATGGTCCACCAAGCTCGGACACCAGTGACCCCAGCGACTCAGATAGTTCGGACAGCGAACTTAGTGCGAACTCCGGGCCTGAGTCTGATGTGGAGTAATTATTTGTTTTTGTTATACTTGTAAATATACTTGTAAATATTATGAAGGCCAGACAGTGTACAGCGTCAGTACTGTTGGTCAGTGTGGTGCAATGTTATCGCCATGCATGAGCTGATTGTGAAGAGCTCTTGGGTCCTCTTTTCTTCTTATATTAAGTTAATCCTTGGCTGAGTTACTTTGTTCAAAGGATGCACAGTACTGACGTCCTACTGTCACATAATTACTGGTTTGGTATCATGCAAATAATTCTCCTGTGATCTAGAACAGCTACCGTGGTACGTGTTTGTATCAAAGACACGTACCTTAGCTGCTTCAACACACAACTCTCCGTCCAATAGTTGACTGGCATGAAATCGAATGTAGCGATGAGAAAAGTACTACAGGTGAGAATAATCGCCTCGATGGAGACTGACAGTGCTACGTGACCTGCCTGCCACCATCAGGGTGAATAGGCATGTTGCAGTTTACACTAACAGGAAGCTCCCAAGTCGGCAAAGACAGCCTGTACTGTCCTCCTCGAAGTGAGCAATACAAAATAATTTAAACACTTCTATCGACAATGTTTTTATGCTTCGGTTCGCCTTTCTCAATTTGAAAAATTCACCAAAATTTGGTCCTCAGATGGAAAAATCCCACTTTGTGTACGTGCTCTTCATTTTCTTTTTTCTGTCCCTCCAGGAAATCGCGATTCCACGGATGCAACAAATTTCGCGATTTTCGCCCAAACCCGCGATTTTCAGCAAAATCCGGGATTTCCCGCGTTTTTTGTTGTTTTCTGCACTATATCTCACATTTTCTGCACTTTTCACGCAGTGCTTTCCATGATCCTGTAAGGCTGTAGGTTATTTCCACTCGTACTACTCCCGAGTAGATATACGATGCAACAAATTGCGTGATTTGGCCCAAATCTGCAATTTTCTGTAAATAATTCCGCGAATTCCTGGCAAGTTCTGCATCGTTCCGCACTTTTCGTCGCATTTTTTGTTGTTTTCTGCCGCAATTTCTTGCGCAAGTTTTCGAGAGTTTTTTTCCGCAAATTCCCGCAGGGACAGTTTTTTTCTCTTCTTCCGTGGTTGGTCTCACCCTCTCCTCAATTCAATTGGCTGTCTTGACATGCCACGAGGTGCAGAAATGAATAAATAAAAATAAAATAAAAATGTCTGCTTGCGTCATGGAAACGTGTTGATTTTGGCCATTTTCACGCACTAAACGGCGCAAACATTGTGAAATCACCGGAACGAAAATTTAAAATAGTGTTCGACGAGCGAACAAACCTCCTCGCACCATCGTTGCTACACAGCTTCGGGACGGCCAAGTAACATAGTTAGTTCTCAAATCGTCCTCTAGAGGCCCTTACCTAGCTCTGTGCGAAGTTTCAAGTCCTCCCTCTGAAGTGGCATACCCCGAGAAAAAAAAGCATCCTACAGATTTCAGCTCCCGGACTAAGTACTGTAGCATGGAAATCCAGTCGATTTACCGGGGCCGGCGCCCTCAGGCTCAGCGCGTACAGAACGCTGCGTGCTGTACACAATCATGTTGATCCGATGCGACCAGCGCGCTACTGCGCATAAAGTGCATACCGCTTATCCACGGCTAGGCTGCACGGCGAGCGCTCTGGGGGCCGGGGCCGCTAGACGTGCGACCGGATCTCCATGTCCACGACAGTGTGTAGTAAGCGTGTTGTTGCGTAGCGCGCGCGCTGTACTCTTGGAGCTTTAGTTTAGGCAAGTCCACTTCGGGAGCTGATGTGTCACTAGGGAGTAGGGTGCAGCACTGTAGTCTGTAGCCTTGTGTGTAAGTACCGGTATTAGTTGTAGTTGTAGGGCTTCGTGAGCACGGAGCATGACTTTCGGAATAATAATTTAGTACACATTCAGTCGAACATCGAGTTTTGCTGCAGAGGCTACATGAAATACTGGATAACACAAAACTATTTTTTTCAGTCTTTATTCTGTCCAGAATACACAGCTACAGGCGGCTCTATATCGTTTTTCTCCAGTTTTACAAGACTAGTATTGATGTTGCTGGCCGCTGTTGCTAACTACGTACAGTAATTGTCGAAGCAGAAAGAAGAACTCAAGCAAGGATCGAAGGCTCTCTCCGCTACAGAATGTAAGGCAAACTGGGAAATGAATTTTACTGACAAATTTCAAGAGTTCGTTTTTTCGTCATATCATAATTACGATAAATTATCAAGAAGAAATTATAGATGCATCGTATGGGCTTGTCTGATTTGCTCCAGTTTGGCCAGGCTTGACGATTGCAGTACAACTGCTGCTGTCAGAAGGAAGATGAAGAAGAGGTGAGTTGGCATAGTACTATTTCATTGAGAACAACTGACGGCCTTCCAACACTAAGAATGTAACAATCTGGCATACAGTGATACTCAGAAAATGGACACACTTCAGGCTCTTTACGAACATCTTGATTCTTGAAAGTTTTCGGTTTCATAGAGGTGATAAAACAGCGCAAAGAAGAATATACCGTAGAATCCCGCAGATAATCCCACCCGCGTATAAGCCCATGCCCGCGTATAAGCCCAGGGAAAGTTCGAACATCACAAGGCTTCGTCAGCAATGTACTTCTCACTTCCTTGGTACTTTTCAATAGCACAATGTTGGTGTCAGCATATAAGCCCATGCCCGTGTATAGGCCCATGTTCTTGTATCAGCCCACCGAAATGTCCTTGTGAAACAGATAAGCCCATGGGCTTATCCGCGGGATTCTATGGTAGCTGAAACTAACAGCGAAAATGCGTGACCCATGCATAGATAAACAATGACACAAAGGTGTGAATGCGAGAAAACCCAACAAGCGTGACAAGTGGTGCAACAACAAGCGACGACCAATGGCCATAACTAACGAGTTTTTGACGGCCTACCTAACAGCCTAATTTTGAATCTAATTTCCTTCTGTTTTCAAAGTTGGGTTTCTTTGTGTGAATATACAGAGCTTCCAAACCATTCAACAATCTAGCACTGCGTACACGTGACACAATCGAAAAACAATCGTCTGAATACACAGCAGGACATTCAGGATGCTTAAAAAAACGACTAGCAATTGACGTCTCATACTTATTAGAAGTAACATCAGAAAAATCAGTGTGTGAGGTGGACACGTCCGATATCAAAGACTAGTCGAGCGGACCTTAGCCGTTGACTCTGCCAGTGCTTCACATGCTGCTAGCGCCGATCTCGTCATTCTTATACTTAATATGGTTCCTGTCACCGCCAAGCCGGCAGGTGTCTTGTCTGGTTGTTTTTCCGGTGGTCTAGATAATTGTGAGGTACCGTTGCTTGGTGTTGATGCTGCTGCGTTAGACCATCTTGTACCAGGATGATTCTTTGCTGGGCGTGCCCTCCGTGGTCGAGTTAAGCGTGCGTGCTGGGGAATAATGTGTAGCGGTGCGTGTTGTCGGATACGTGCGTCCAGATGTTGAATGGCCCTACCTACATGTTGGCTCTCACACTCGAAGTGATCATCTTGGATAGCTGGCCTGTAGGTAGGACGTCCTTCCTCACCGTGATTGCACGCACCGTGGAGTAAATAAAGTGAATGTGGGCATTAGGTTTTTCAGACCTATCTTCTGAGGTCAAAGGACTAAAAGAGGAACTGGTCACCCTCAAGGCATCCGCCTTTGCGAAACCGATGAGCAGCAGGCCAAAGGCAGTTGGAGCTGGACGCACAACAACGAGCGGCAACTCGTCAACGGCTGTCACTGGGGGCAAAGTTCAGCGTCGTAGTACAGACCCATCGCACCGTAGCACATGCACAGGACACTCTGCAGAAACTCCGTTGACAACGCCTGTAGCAACGGACAGTGCAGGGGACGCGCACTGTACGAATACCGGTAGCTCTGAGGCCCACGCTGCAGCTACAGCAAACCACACGGAAGTTCATACTGCAGCAGCAACAGCAGACGAAAAGCACAATACCGGCGACAGTGGTCAGGATGCAAAGGGTGTCCAAAGCAAAGGACAGTCCCACGTTGTCCCACCCATGGATGACGAAGATGACGCCTGGATTCTGGTATCGCATGACAAGCCCCGAAAACCAAAAAAGAAAGTCATCTTTGTTGGCAACCTCAAGGCAGGCACAACTGAGGAGCAACTAGCAACTTACTTGCACAGGAGAATTGCTGCTGCTGCACTCCCTAACTTCCCGCTACACAGCGTGACAACACTGGAGAAACGGCCACTCAACAATTCTCGCCTCACGGTGTCAGGGCGGGTCATGATCAATGCACAGGATGCTGGATATTTGCTTGCCAAGAACTTTTGGCCGGGCCGAGTGTACTCCAGGCTGTGGAAGTTTGATGCTGACAGAATCAGCAGTGGGCGAGCCACGTCTGGCGAAGATATTGGAGACAGCATTGACCATAGCACATCCACCCCAAGTAGCGGTACTGCTTCTGTGGCCTCTGAAAATGGCAGCAGCACCGGCGACCAACTCTTTGAGGAGACCACGGGCGACCAACTCCT